ATATTGATCAAAAAGTTTTTGATACCAGCGTATATAATTTTAATGTTTTAATTAATCATTGTAGTTCAATTGAAAATAAAGAAATACATTGTAAAATATATGTGGTTTTTTATCAAAATAAAGCTGAAAAAAATTGTAAAGTTATTAAGGAATTTTGTTTTAAGTGTTTTTCTGATAAAGATTTTATAATTTTAAGAAATAATCTTCTTAATTTTCTAAACATATTAAAATATGTTTATGATTTTAAAAAATTTTTTTTATCAATAAAAGGTATAAAATTAATAGTGTGTAATGTTAGTTAAAACAATTTTAATTATATTGTTTGAAATTATTGTTACATTATTAGAAACTGTTTGTATTAATAATATTTTTGATAGATTTGATAATTTTATTTAATAAAAATATTAAGAATTTTACTAAAAAATGTTGATGAAATACAAGCTTAAAATAACTAACAAGATTGTTTTAATATTGATTTTTAAATTTTTAACATATTAGGGTTTTAATCTTGTATTTCTGCAAAGAATTTTATGTTAATAATGATAGAGTGTGTCTATAAAATAAACATGTTTTATTTTTTTAATCATTTAATTATTTTACATTTTTAAAAACCATTAAGGCGTTATAATATTTATTTTTTAATAAATTAGTATGGTATAAATCTTATGAGATATAAAGAATTTTTGTCGCTATTTTATATTCTTGTTATCAGAAACTTAGATAAAGATTTAATAGTGATAAATTTATTAATAAAAGCTTATAAGGTAGTAATTTTTGTAATATTATTCATAAAACATTTTTTTTAACTATTGAAGAGAAATTAAATAAATAAATCATTGTTTATAAAAGATATTTAAATAAAGATAATTTTCAATGTTATTTTTAACAAGATCTATGCTATTCTTATTGTAAACAGTGTTGTTTTGTATGTAACTTGTATTTCTGTATCTTTCTTTGGTATAATAAATTTATTAATTGAGAGTATTTTAAAAACTTTTAATAAACAAGTTTTTCTTGGAGGGAATTTTGAACATTATACTGCCATATTTATATAACAGTCTAGCTATTAAATAAGATATTAAAATTGAAAACCAGGTTTTAAAATAGTTTATTACCAATCAATTTATTGTTCACAGAATCATAAAAATCAAGATTCTTTTTAAATTCAACCAATCTTTCTTTAACCTCATAAGCATTCTAAAAACTTTATCACTTTCATAAAACTCATGAAACTTATGAAACGATATTTTGTTTTGATTTTAGAATTTAAATTTTTAGTTGCATCTTTTAA